ATTATACAAATTTCTAAGTTTCTCAGAAACCCTTTATTTATTTTTTAATCAACCAGTACGGTCAAAACGTTTTCTACAACGCGTAAAATATCAGACTGAAATTTTTCAAATTTATTTCTAATTATTATCTTGCTATTCGATCATAAAAGATTTGTTCTTTTCAGCTGTACTTCTTGCTCTGTTCATTTTTATTCGCAGTTTTTCTTTTTTTTCTACGTTGGAGAGAAAAGGAAGAAAGATGGACGATGCTAGTTCAGCTAAAAAGAACAGACGCGAATCTTGCTGCATCAGATCATACTTTTTCTTTACTAAGCTTTAAATGTATATGTATTTTATTTTAACTAGTGTGTATATATACTAATTCAGTTAAAAAAAACAGATCAAATGTGAATCAAGTGCTGAACGTGTCAATTTTCACTTTGCTGTATATACGCTTCCGGTGGTGAACGTGGTGACTTTTTACGTGCCTTTAACCTGTATTTTCAAGTTATATGACACACATCTCGTGTAAACAAAATTTTTTGGTTATGGCCACGTCTCCGGATTTTGATTTAAAAGAGCGGCTAGATATTAGTTTTAAAGATACAGCGGCTCTAAGTTCATTATGCAGAAATATAGCTTCCGGTAAATGTTTAAAAAATTTATTTTAAAAAAATGCATAGCTTGTGTTATGAAAATCAGTGATAATCAATGTCTAAGTTGAATTTTATATTCGAATATCTTTATCATCGTTTATAATATTTGGCTCCTATAATTTTTAATCTTCTTTCCAATTCAGAAAATTATATACACTCGATTCTTTCTATTGCTACGTTCTTGAATTTTTTATGTATTAATTTTTTATGTAAATTTATAAATTTTGTTATATAGTCATAACAATTAATTTAAATCATGGAAGATATAGAATAAGATGATTTTTTATTTTTTTCAGAAATAGAATCAGGTTCTATGAAACTATGTACATTTGTGGAGATACTAGGTTCTTATGTGACAGACCAAAATATTGTTACAAGGGAGAAAGGAGTTACAGCCCTTTCTTCTGTTTTGTCACAGCTACCTCAAAATTATCTCAATGAATCAGAATTATATTTTATTACAATGTTTTACTGTGACAGGATAAAGGATCACTATAGTATCATACCATCTGTACTAAATGGTATTCAAGCAATTGTGAGCATTTATCTGAAAAGTCCTTTTTATTATTTGTGCCAATTTCCATTTTATCACATTTTTCAAATTCATAAATTTTGTTTTAGGTAAACATGACTCATTTACCTCAAAATGTACCATCGTCTCTATTAAAAGTTATGTTTGAGCACGTTCCATGTCAATCTCAGCTGTTGTCAGAACGTCGCAAAATATATTTAATACTTAAATATTTAATAGAAAATAGATCAGATGATCTGCGATCTCTGGGACCAGATTTAGTTTATGGTATTATCAGCTCTATGGATGGTGAAAGAGATCCGAATAATCTCATGTTATTGTTTAATATATTACCACGTTTTATAAAAGAATTCCCGTTAGGTCATTTAACTGAAGAAATGTTTGAAGTTATGGCATGCTATTTTCCAGTTGATTTTAATCCTGTAATTATATTGTACATTTACTTTTTTATTTTATTTTTAATGTGGTATTTATAATATGATAAATATATTTATAAAATATTTTGCAGTCAGGTGTAGAAGATCTAAGTGTGACGCGAGAAGATTTGGCAAAAAAATTGATTCCTTGTTTATGTGCTATCCCAGAGTTTGCGGATTATTGCTTGCCTCTTATACTCGACAAGTTACAGTCTACTCTCAAAGTTGCTAAACTTGATTCTTTAAATCTATTACATGAAAGCGTTCAAACATTTGGATTGTCAAAAATAAAATCGTACCTGCCAGAACTATGGGCAACTTTGAAGAAAGAAGTGATATCCGGAAGAGATACTGAAACAAGAGATGCTGCTTTAAAAGCAATAACATCTTTAATTAGAGTTATATCAATTGATGAAACTATTTGTAAAGATTTTATTGACAAGATAATCACAGATGTAAAGTCATCGTTGTGTGATGTACAACTTAGTTTGTACAAACCTGTTCAAACGCTACTGGAGACAATTGCTGTAATTACTAAGATAATATGTGTGCAAATTCTGCAAGCTATAATACCTTTATGTCTCGGACAATACTCTACAAAAAATTCATTAAACGATAAAATTGTATTGATAGATTCTTTAAATAATTTTATGAATATCTCTTCTAATTACGGCTTTTGCATTCAAGGTAAGTTGAAAGACCTTTATATTTATTTCACTTTATTTTATTTTATGTCAGTACTGATATATATTTTATGTACATAATATGTTATATTTTATTTGCATATATGTTTTATTATATAGTGGAATTTAATTTAGATGTTCCAGAATTATCATGGACAAATATACCTCAAACATATTTAGACAGTTTAATGGTAGAAAGTACTGAGTTAAAAAGCAAAATATTTTACGGCTTAACAATCCAAAAAGGATATTTAAATGATGTACAACGTTCTATATTATATAACGCGGTATGCAATGAAATTGAAACAGGATGTGATGAAATACAAATTGTATGTCATACAACTATCATAGATTTTGCTACGTTATATCATGAAGAAATATTAACATTAGTTAAAGAAAGATTGTTATCAAATACAGGTAAGTTAAATACAAATATATAGATAATATAAATATGCTCTTGCCAATGTATAGAGATATGAAATAATATCAGTTGAATATTTCAGATGAAATAGGAGTAGAATTGCTAAAACGTAGGATAAAAGCCTTGACAGCAATTGCAACAATACGCGAATTAGGCTGCGTAATACTTCCGAAAATTGTTACGATGTTAGACACTGATAATACTGACATATGCATTACTGCATTACAAAATATCCAGAAGCTGATTGCTTTAAAAAAATCTGAATACAACATACATCAATTTTTATATGAAGAATGTCATATTATTGATAAATTAATTTCGTACAAGGCAAATGTTATCGATCTCTCTCATAAAATACTGATATCTAATATCTGCCATTTAATTGTACGAAATCTTACAATCGAAGAACAACGTGCAATTGTAGCGAAATATGCCGTGGCTTTAAATACAAAAATTCCCGAAACTGATGTGACTACAATGATGAATCTTTTTATACCCTTGCGAAAGGATATCAACTTGAACATTAATAATGATGCAATGATAAATCTATATAATTTAGCAACTAGTAATCGCAATCTGGAAATAAGGCAAACGAGCTGTAAATTTTTATCTGTTTTATTGAATAAAATGGAAGTATCAGATCTCGATAGAATTATACCTTGTCTAGAAGACAAAATAAATAATAATTTAAGAGCGGACGATGATATTGAATTAAAGCAGTATACAATTAATTTTCAAATTTGGATGACTAAAGCACTCGTTATGAGAGGACATGCAAAGTTTCAAAAATTTTTAGAGACTGTACGTGTAATTATTGATAAATTAATACTAAAATTAATACTAAAAATTAATAATTAATTTTATAATATATATGTGTAAAATTATATATTTTATTTTTGTTTTTGTTTACAGCTTACATATCTATTAACTCAAAATGAAATAGGTCAATTTGTAGGCGAACATTATCAAATTTTAGTAAGTAAATATGAGGATATTTTGATACCGGAAAATTTCTGCAATGTGAAAATTTTTTATAAGCAAAGAGTGTTTGAATATTTATTGCGACAAAACGTTAATTTTACAAACTCAATAAGACAGAATTATCTTATTGCTTTTGTACATTTACTAGAACAAATACCGAAAAAATTATTATTTCTACATTTAACTGAGGTAAGTTTTCATTGTAAATGCATCAATGATAAGAAAATATGGAAATAATATTTTAATATTGCTATTGTCAGTTGGTACCGTTGTTGATCGAGTCTCTATCTCTCAATGATGAGCGTCTGGTTCTTTGGACTTTGACATCATTTAAACTTTTACTTGATACCAAACATGATGTATTTTCTGATAATATACAATGTGTTATACCAAGACTTATGCATTTATCAACACATCGAATTATGGTAATTATTGACATTAACTTCATCAACTCTTCAAATTACTATCATTATTGCTATATAACTCTATTTGGTATCAACAGAGTGTTAGAATCGCAGCTTTGGAATGCCTAACGCACTATGCTAAGTATCCCACTATTTTGATCAATCCATACAAGCAGAGTATATTAGATAAATTGGGGACAGTAATCGACGATCGCAAGCGTTTAGTTAGGAAGGCTGCAGTGGAGGCGAGAACACGATGGTTTATAGTGGGTGCATCTGGAGAACAGTCAAACGAGTGAATATTATAGTTCAGTTCTGTATAGATATGTCCGATGTGATTTTATGAATATTTCTTTCTTTCTCTTTATGTGTATAATAAAAAAATGTAAATTTTTCATTGCTGAATATTAACATCTATAAATTGATACGTTGATCGTTTTTATTTATATATTTAATCCATAATATGCTTTCCTTCAACATTCATTCCTTCAGTTACTCAAAATCCATCTCTCCAATTTTCAATGAGTCTCTTAGGAATAGAGACATATATGAAATATGGAATTGAATTTAGGACTCGACTATGAGAAGACTATAAAAAATGACCTCTTTCTCACACAGAGTCATGTGTCACATCTTTCTTAATTGAATAAAGAATTGATTTTTGTAAGTCGATTAGAGAGGAGGAGCTAGCTTGTGCAATATGTGCTCAGTGAAGCGTAGACATGGGCGATGGTAAGAATATACAATTGTGACATTTATCTTTCTCATTTTACGACTAAACTTCCATTTTTATTTAATTGAAGTGTCGAATATGAAATGTCAAAAAAATATAATAAGCGTATGAAATGTCAAAATAAAAATATAATAATTTTAATTAAATAAAATAATTGATTTTTTAATTAAATGTCTACGTATAAAATTACACATCTATAGGTGTGGCAAAGAATGGTGCGTACAAGTATGATGACGGTACGAAATACATCGGTGATTGGAATCGTAGAGGACTGAAACACGGAGCTGGTCTGTTAGTTCTTCCGGACGGAACACGGTATGATGGAACGTTTCAAAATGGATTATGTTCCGGCTTGGGCGTCCTTATATTTCCCGATGGTGCGAAGTAAGTTGTATATTGTAAGCTTCTTCGAAATTGCATATTTTATTCAATAATATCGTCGCATATATAAATATATATTTTTAACAAGAGCATATTTGCATTCTTTTTTTTTTAGGTATGAGGGAGAATTTATGCAAGGATGGTTTCATGGCCATGGTGTATTTTGGCGAGCGGATGGAATGAAATTTGAAGGGGAATTTCGCGGAGGTCGCGTCTGGGGTTTAGGTACATAATCGAGTTATGATAATTAATTATCAAATATACTTATTACTTTATAACAATAAAATACTTTTGGAAATAAAATGTTTTTGAGTCAAGATGTCGTTTTTTTAATTGTAATTCGATTATAAATTTATTGTTATACATCTGTTATTCGGTAACCGCAGGTTTGGTGACTTATGCCGATGGCTCGCATGGATTTCCGAGAAACGAAGGTTTTTTTCAAGACTGCAGACTAGTGAGGCGACGACGCTGTCCTGATATAGTGCAAAAGGCGCAAAAAATTTCCATGATGGCACGTGCTCAGTGTAATTAGACGGAAGTAGAATAAAATTGTAGATACATAGCTAATAAAAGAGAATGTATGTAATCTTTATTCTCAATTCCAATTTTCTCTATAATTATTTATTTGAATAAAATAAAAATACACTAATATCTGGCTTTCATATCTTCGTCTTTTTCTTGTTATGCATAGTATATAAACTTTAATTTCTCTTCCCCATTTTGCTCGCCTATAGATGAAATTTAATGTCCAAAGTGTTTTCCAAGGAATTTATACAAAATTGGAAAAGAGGAATGCAGATTTATTTTTATCACTATAAATAATGTTTGTGATACCAGTTTCCTGAATACGAAATGAAATATAATTGTAACGAGTTACGCCTTAAAAGAAAAAGTTTGAGAAGGAACACAAGGCTAGACTACTTTCCGCTCGGAGAGGCGTGGCCAAGCCGGATGTTCCAGTTTTGAAGACGAAGGTGTGGCACCGATCGATACTAAAATTCGCACGTGTAATATTTTAGCATATAACAATAGCCAAAAATTGAAATTCTATGTTTGGAAACATTAATCTATCAAAACTGTTTGTGAAATAAGAAATGAGTTCTCCATATTGTTTTCCTTGTATTTTCTTTCCTTACATTTTTTTGCGAGAACATAAACATTTAATATTTTTCAAACAAATGACACTTGTTTTATCTAAATTTTATAAAAAATTAAATTCGAAATGTTTACTTTAAAAATCGTAATATTTTTAAAGATGCAATGCATTTTCTTTACGGGCGATATATTGCATTATAATATTTATGTAAACATTGTTAGAGATACAATAAATAATTGATAAACTGTCAATAAATTTTTCTAGTTCGCAGATCATTATGTACAGCACATTTCAAGTACACCACTTATATAAATCATTGGAAGGGCGTACGCTTCAACGGGGAGTAAGACTTCAGCACAATGGCGCAATATTAAATTTATCCTTGACACTATATCCCACCATGGTGAAGTGTATGGGTACCCGAAAGATTTCGTGTGGCTCGTCATTTGTCCGCCAAGTATAAAAGTACCGATTGTCACGGACAGTAGCATTCGTATTTCGGTACAGACACGATAGAAGTCACCGCAAGAACTTACCCCCGTGTAGTACAATGGCAGCTAAGGTATGTACGACTGACGAATTAGACGGATTTTCTCGAGGAAAAACGTAAGGAAAAAGGGAAACACAAAATTATATTCTTAAAATTTCAAGTCGTCGCTAAGGGAAGTTCCGTTTCAGTTGTTCCTGATCGCCTGCGTTCTGGCCGTAGCCAATGCCGGATACATCGGAGTGCCATCCGCCCTGCAGTATCAGTACGCTCCGATAGCGCATGTTCAACCCCAAGCTATCACGTCGACGTCCGACAACATCTTACGTAGCCACGGCAATCTGGCGCAGGTAGCCACCCAGACCAAGACCATCGACACGCCTTTCTCTAGCTCGAGCAAGACCGACATCCGCGTAACTAATCCGGCCGTCACTACCTACGCTCATCTCGCTCATCCAGCCCCGTTGACGTACGCCGCGGCCGCACCAGCGGTTGTACGCGCCCCAGCTGCCCTTGGAGTCGCTTACTCGCCAGCCGTCGAAGTATCTCACATGAGCTATAGCAGCCCGATCGGAATCGCCTACGCCTACTAAATCGACCGCATCTGTGTCAGACGTGACTTTATGTAACACACAGATATATATATATATATACATACGTATTTATTACAAAAATCCTAGATACCTGTAACTACTTCTAGTATGTGGCAAATTGATGGCACTGCAATGTAGGTAGTTACGTACAATAAAAACTGTATTTTATTCTACAATCTAGCAGAGCTTGATTTTTCAATCTGAGAAATCTATCCGTCTAACGATGAGAGATTAAATTCAGTCAGTTGAATGTAAGAAACGGAAAAATTGGCGGAGTCGACCAATTCAAATCTAAAATCTTACGTTTGCCACTCATTTAGTCTGCAGGACTATGATGGCTCCCTACGATAACTATTCCAACTTCTTTTAATACTTAATTGTTTTTGTAGCTCTGGATTACTTCTTACAGTTCAAATTTCTTACATGGAAATCGAGAAGAATCGTTACTCAATGGAAAAGGGATTATTACTGTTGTAACACGCGCGTTACATTGCTTTGTTTCTGTTTGAGTTGAAAGGGTTTAGTTCGTAGCAGAAGATACTGAGAGAAGTGTTTTCTGCGAGATGGAATAAAATCCCAGTTTTTATTTATGAAAATTTATTAATATTCATGTTTTTTTTTCGCGGCATTTATGAATAATTTATCAACAATTTCAAATGAGAAGGGAAAGAAACGTGTTCTGATACGAAAAAAAGGAACAATTTTCAAGAAATGATTAGGGAGGGGTGGGGTCGACTTTAGGGGATCAGCGAATTGTACGTAGTATTGATGCGAGGTACATTCTGCGATGTTTAATTGCTGGGGTGGATTTTTTTTGTATCTCATTCGGAACGGAAAAGAAATCTAGCCTAATTTAGCTCCTCCCCAACCGGCTCCCCAACCAGCATTGCCCCAACCAGCGTTGCCCCAGCCAGCGTTGCCCCAGCCAGCGTTGCCCCAACCAGCATTGCCCCACGCAGGAGCGACAGCAATCACGGGTGCTGTAACAGATTTTACGAATGTTAATAATCAAGAAAGATGAAAATTTCGCAACTTCTTGTGATTTGCGATATCACATAATAGCTATAATTCTAAAATCTTCCAAATAGTAACTTTCTTAACATTATATATATATATATATATATATATATATATATATATATATATATATATATATAATAATA